CCCTGTGCTTTGCCAAGCTTGTTTCAAGTAGGTGCTTTAGGCCACTGAGCCATCTCTCCAGCCCCCCATGTTGTGATTTTTTGAGACATGGTCTTGCTCTCTAGCCCAAGCTTGCCTCAAACACACAGGGATCCTTCTGCATCAGCCTTCTAAATGACAGGATAACATCCACCACCACACCTAGCTTATGTGCAAGTTTTTAAGATGCCATTATATAATACTCTGGTTTCATTTAAGGACTTTACACACCTTTCACCATACTTGGTACTGATTTCATAGTACTGTCCATAGTACAAAGGTTTCATTCTGCTATCCATAGTAGTAGCTATATTTGCTGAACTGCTTCATATATATATATGGACTGATAATTTAAAGAGGTGAACAGTCATCCACCAATTCTTGGGAAGTCCAGACTCAGGTTTTTTTTGTTGTTGTTTTTTTTTTTTTTTTTTGGCGGAACCGGGGATTGAACTCAGGCCCTTGCACTTGCCAGGGAAGCACTTATTCCATTGAGCCATCTCCCCGGCCCCATACAGACTCAATATTAATGATCATAATAGGAAGATATTCTGTCTGCTCTAAATCTGTTGCCCAAGACTGAATAATACTATTTGGTATCCCATATTCTTCCAGGATTATTTTGATATCGTGAAGAGCCCCATGGATCTTTCTACCATTAAGAGGAAGTTAGACACTGGACAGTATCAAGAACCCTGGCAATATGTGGATGACATTTGGCTTATGTTCAACAATGCCTGGTTATATAACCGGAAAACATCACGGGTGTACAAATACTGCTCCAAGCTATCCGAGGTCTTTGAGCAAGAAATTGATCCAGTCATGCAAAGTCTTGGATATTGTTGTGGTAGAAAGGTAAGAAACAGCTTTTGGGCCTGCTATTAACTTCTAGGATATTGATGACTGAGGTAAGATTCTGCTTCTGGAATTGACGGCCCTCCACTTCCTCTTGTGCTAGGGCTTGACCCCAGGACCTCAAGGCATGCTTGGCAAGTGCAGTACCATGGAGCTGTATCCCCAGTCCCAAAAGGCCACTCTCTTGCTATGTTACTTGTCCTTTCTTGCACACTGTAACATCTTGTTCCCACAGAGTGGGCTGTTTTTTTGGCAGAACCGGGGATTGAACTCAGGCCCTTGTGCTTGCCAGGGAAGCGCTTATTCCACTGAGCCATCTCCCCGGCCCCCAGAGTGGGCTGTTTTGATTTGCTTTGTTTTTGGTACTGGTAATTGAACTCAAGACCTTACACTTGCCGGGCAGGTACCTTTCCCCTGAGCCATCTCCCTAGCCTTGAGTGAATTTTCTTTTTGACAGACATGCTCTGCCCAAATGTGAATCTTATGACAAACACTTGAATCATTCAACTAAGCTCACTAGGGCTAGGTGCTTTATCCCATTCCCCTATAGATGAACACTGTTCAGTGTGTGCTTATTTTTCATGTGAATACCCAGTCGTGTTAAGCTCTGAATGTCCCATTAGAGACCTGTGGAATGATGGTGATGAAAAAGTGTGACTGCTTAGTTTACCTCATTGTGGTGAAATTATTTAATTGTAAATTTAAAATGGATTTGGAAACCAAGTGTAACCTATTATGAGATCTACAGTATTACTGGCTTTTGTTTCTGATTTGCTGTTGTAACTTGTGCTTCATGCCCTTCTGCTCTTTTAACGAGTGATTTCTCTTGCAGTTGGAGTTTTCTCCACAGACACTGTGTTGCTATGGCAAACAATTATGCACAATCCCTCGTGATGCCACTTACTACAGTTACCAGAACAGGTAAGTCTGATCCTGTGTGAACCATGGTCCACGTGTCCTCTTGAGGGGAGTGCATGCAGCTGGACCAGCACACACGTACATCATGGTTCATGTGTAACTTGCTTGAAAACACCTGTACTACACAAGTTCTACTCTTTGCTTTGTACTTCTGTTTCCAGAATTAATAGAATTTTCTATTGAAAGTCTTGCATGAGGTGTCAGGGGCCCTTATGTTTTTATATTTGTTTTGCTTTTTGGTGCTCAGTGCTAAGCAAATGCTCTACCATTGAACCACATCCTGGTGCTGGGTCCTCACTGCATAAGGGAAACACAAAGGCCTTGGGAAATAGTGCAATTTAGGAGCTGTTGGCGTGGATGACACTATCTCAGGCTGCCTTTCTGCTGTGATTTTATTGTGCACCACTCTCTACATGAAAACTAAAGAATCTTAAACTCCCCCCTGACACTTCAGCTAAAACTTTAGCTAAGATCTTTAGAAATGTTTTCTTTTAGTGTGGTTTATGTTGTTCTTAGAATATATGAAAACAGAGGGCCGGGGAGATGGCTTACTAGGATAAGCACTTGACTGGCAAACGCAAGGATCTGAGTTCAATCCCCGGTTCAAACAAAACAAAACAACAACAAAAAAAAAATATATGCAAACAGAATTAGAGTATCTGCTGTTATGAAAACCACCAAAATATCAGAGTACCTAAGTTCCTTACAAAAATTTGCATATGGCAAAGAATAGGGTTATAATGAATGGAAAACTAGTGCCTTACTTCTCCTGCTCAGTTAGTGGCTGTAGTCACATAAGCAGCATTCACTGTCTCCTGTTTTCACCTATCAGCCTACAGTGTAGCTTGCACAGGCTGTTGACAAAGGCCTCTGACACAGAAATAGCAAAGCTGGGTAGTTCATTCCCTGTAGCAGTTATTAACACAAGCCTATGATGTTGGCTTTTGTTGAACTTGTGTGCTACAGGTGTATTTCTAGCTTCAAAAATTCATCCAAACTTTTTACTTACAAAAAGTTAAGTGTATTCCTGCTTTGTAGGCTTTAAAATCCAGTTTTTTACTCCTTAGAACCTAGGAATAGGAGATTTAACATGGTTATAAGCAACCTTAAATTTTAAAATGCAACTAACAACTGGCACAAAGCTATTCTTTTGTTCCAGTTTTAATATTCAAACCATTTTTAAATTTTAACAGCATATTTAATTATGTTCTTGCACACTACTGCCTTTGTTTTGCATTTTGAAATGTGTCTTTTTCTTGATGGCTATTACGATCACTATTTAATAGTGTTATGCAGGCTATTTAGTGAAAAATGATTTACTTAGGGCTTCCTAATGATTGAAGTGTATGTTTTCAATACCCAGTTGTTTTTAGATCACTGTTTACTGTTCTTGACTCCATAGTGGATTGATTATGTATTTATTTTTTTGGAATTGGGAAGTGATGCCTTATTTGGATAATGGTCAGAGCAGTAGCTCTCCCTGACATATTTGTCACTCTTTTGATTATTTACATCATGAAGCATTAATAGTCAAATACAAGATGTGGGTTGTTATAAGTGAAAGCTTTCGTTTTTATTTACGTAATCATTTGCTACTTGTGATCCCAGAGATATTTAATGCTAATCTGTGCTTTGCCTTGGCTTTCTGCTTTGTGTTGTCCTGTCTTGCATTTATGTTTTTTGTTGTCCTGCAATCCCTCATTTCTTCGCTTGTTTTGTGTTTTTTTTTTCTCCCTCATGCTTGTCGTTGTCTGCACTTGGCTTTGATTGCAAAAAACAAAACCAAAAAAAACCAAACTGTGGTGCCCATAAATCTGCATCATTGAATGTCCTTGTCGCCGTTGATGACCTGCTCTCTGCTCCCGTCCCCCTCCTTGGCCTGCTGTGATTGGTGGCTTCGTTGCTTGGCTTGGGCTGTGTTGTGTGAACGGAACAGTTCACCCCAATATGGCCTTCTTGCTGACAGGTATCATTTCTGTGAGAAGTGTTTCAATGAAATCCAAGGGGAGAGCGTTTCTTTGGGGGATGACCCTTCCCAGCCTCAAACGTAAGTAACTGCATTATATCAGAGAGGTGTTTATTCTACCATGTATTTTCAGGTGATGAAGGTTGGGCTTCCAAGCAGTCTTAAAGTATCCTGCCCACTATCCCATTAACTGCAGGTGGTTATTTAAATACAAATTAGTTAAAAGTAAGTAAATCACTTTTCAGATATATTCTCACATTTCAAGTGGCCAATCTTTTGAAGTTAATGGCTACCATATGAGTCAACACAGATAAAGAACATATTCAGCATAGCAGAATGTTCAGTTGAACAGTACTGAGTAAGGAGTATGTCAACATTAATTAGACTGTCATCCTACAGTTAAAGGATTTCTTTTCTGTCAAAATAGCTTCTCTTCTAAATATGGAAAGGTTAGTTTAAGAGTGAGTGTTACTTTGTTGGGATGTGTTTTGTTTTGTTTTGTTGTGGGTTTTGTTTTGTTGTGTCTAGAGATGGTCTCACTGTTTTCTTCAGGCTGGCCTTGAACTCATGGCAGTACTCCTGCCTCAAGTTCCTGAGTGCTAGACTTACAGGCATGTACTACCCACACCTGGCCTGCAGCACTTGAGAAAACTTAGAGAGAAGCATTGAGTTGAAGGAAATTGAAGTAGTTAACAACCTTTTGCCCTTTTCTTTGTAGGTTAATAGAATATTCAAATTAGTGTAATAGTGAACTTAATCTAGCAATATGTAGAGCCTATTAACAGATCTGGTTGGGCTTCTAAGCCACCATTTACTTAACTAGTAAAATTGGCGGGGGTGGGGGGGTACTGGGCATTGGATTCTGGTCTGTTGTACAAAGCTACATCCCCAGCCCCACTTTATTTTATTTTGGGATAGTATCTTTTTTTTTTTTTTTTT